GAATCTTAAAGAATGGGTAGAATAGTTGAGGTGTGGTGGCTCATACCTATAATCCTAGTAGTCTGGGAGGCTGAGGTGGGAGGATCGATTGAGTTCAAGAGTATGAGGTTGATGTGAGCTAGACTGAAACCCCAGCATTCTAGCCTGAGTGTCAGCAGGACTCTGGATTTAAAAAAAAAAAAAAAAAAAGGGCACAGCTGGGTGTAGTGTACAGGCTGTATGTACACTGTGTACAGTCTGAGGTGGTTGGATTGCCTGATCTCAGGATTTGGAGACCAGCCTGAGCCAGAGCGAGACACTGCCTCTAAAAATAGCCAGGCATTGTGGCGGTGCCTGTAATCCCAGCTACTCAGGAGGCTGAGGCAAGAGAATCCATTGAGCCTAGGAGTCTGAGGTTGCTGTGAGCTATGACGTTATGGTACTATTTCTGGAAGAGGGGGGTGACAAAGTGAGACTCTGTAAAAACAAAAAAAAAAGAGGGTGAAGTGCAACACCCGTGGCTCAAAGGAATAGGGCATTAGCCCTGTGTGCTGGAGGTGGTGGGTTCAAACCCAGCCCCGGCCAAAAACTACAAGAAAAAAAAAAAGGGTGAGAGGTGGTGCCTGTGGCTCAAAGGAGTAGGGCACTGGCCCCATATGCCAGAGGTGGTGGGTTCAAACCCAGTCCCGGCCAAAAACAGCAAAAAAAAAGGTGAAATTTAGATGTATGTCAGAAGGAATAGTTTGACCATAGTTTGAGGGGAAAGTGGCTGTAATGCGAGTGTTCTGATTCAGATAGACTGGAGAGTAACTTAACCACTGAAGGCAGGTGCAACATGTTATATTCAGCTTGTGGTAGTCAGTGAGCTACACGAGAATTCTGCCCTCATCCAGCTCGTGTAGTGAGCTACATACAAGCTCTTATCCAGCTCTTGGTGACTGGCAGATTACACCCAAGGTCTGCACAAGTGGACAGTTCTGTATACCTTTATACCCAGGGGGAACAATAGAGGCAAGGTGCCAAGCATCAGTTACATAGGCATGACATTACTGTGTACAGTTATAGTGTAGCGATTTCCAGTGGCACCATGGGTGGGAAAGTCCAAATAACTCTGTTCGGCCATATAGTGGCACTCCATTTTGGCTGATGCTTAAAGGTATTGAGAAGAGAAAGGTAGTTTTCTATGGAATGCCTTAAAAACCAGACCAAGACCTTAGGCTTTACTGGATGATACTGGAGAGCCATTGAATGGTTTTGTTTTGTTTTGTTTTGTTCTGTTTTGTAGTGAAGGGCACAGAGGAATGACATCATCAGAACTGTACCTTAATCATGGAGAAAATATTGGATAGAGTAGACTGAGTTTTGCCATTCCAAATATGGGCAGAAAGCATCAGCATCACCTAGAACAGTGGTTCTCAATCTTCCTAATGCC